GTCCCACAGACGTTACATAGTCTGACATGCCGTGCTCAACAGAACACGACCGCACAGAGCCACGGCGCCCGTCCGAATCCAGGCGGATCTGGATATCGCATTTCTAACCTTCCATAACCTTTCGTTACCTTACATCATTCGTTACAATCCACCGAACGCCATATCCGTGCAAGCAGCACGCGCACAAGGCGTTCAGCCGACCGGCCCTGGCTGGTCAGCGCAGGCGGAAGGCTAGGGAGCTGAAGCTGCTGGCGTTCGGCGCCAGTCTGCCACATAGGGGAGAGGCGGGAGAATCGGGACGAAGGAGAATAGGGACACGCAAATATCTTAGAGATGGGCAGCCGGATCACCACTCGTAATTTCATGTTTTTCTTTTTTGTGTCAGGCGACGCAGAAAACTACAAGCCGTCCTTTCTCGGTGCGCAGGAACGCTGCGCGGGGTGATTATCAAAAAACTATACTTTTTGGGCGTTTTTTCAAGTTGTGCGTGCTGTTCATGTCATGCCATCTTTTCTTTTAACTATTTCACATTGTAAGTTCACATAATGTTAATCTCCTTGCTTGCATTTAAAATTATATAAGCCAATTGACAAACGGCGGAGGACTCGTCTAGTAGCTAGAGTGCGCTGCAGGAGAATCGGGACGCCCGTCCCTATTGTCATGCAGATTTCCCAATTCTCCTGTAGGAACCATTAATGTCACTCGTGCATAATACTATACATACCTATAAATTGATGAAAGTGTTTTTATCGAAGCATACTCACTTTTTTCTTCTTTCAGGACCATGCCACGTGTATACGCTAGAAAAGAAAGGGGCACGCGGACGTATCTCATGATTCAATGCTGCTGGCTGTCAAAGATGTTGTAGAAGGGGGGATGAGTCTGAGAAAAGCTGCGGAAGCCCACAGTGTGAGCAAAAGCGTCCCTGGAAGATATGTCGCAAAGCACAGTGTCGATCCTGTAGCTCGTCTTGAGCCCAACTACAGTCATTCGAAGATATTCGCTGCTGACGAGGAGCAAGCTCTCAGTGAATATGTGATGCAGTGCTCGAAGATGTTCCATGATTTAGCACACAAGCAAACACGCGGAATTGCCTACCATATGACAGTTAAAAATGACAAACACTTTCCCGCCTCCTGGGCTGAAAATGAAGAAGCGGGGCGCTTGTGGATGAAGGCCTTCATGAAAAGAAACACCCAGCTGGCGCTGCGGAAACCTGAAGCTACATCCATCGCGCGAGCTGGAGCCTTCGACAGGCACAATGTCGAGGAATTCTGCGGAAACCTGTCTGAGGTCCTGAAACAGACGGGAGTCTCAGGTGCGAGGACTTTAAATCTGGATGAAACTGGATTCACGACTGTACAGAAGCCTGGAAAGATCATTGCTGGAATGGGAGACAAACAGGTTGAGGAGGTCACCTCTGCGGAGAGGGGTGAACTTGTCACGATGTGTGTCGCTGTGACTGCCACTGGGGCATACCTTCCCCCTGCCTACGTCTTCCCCAGGAAGACTCTTCGGGAGAATCTGATGGAAGGTACCCAGAAAGGATCGCAGCAGCTGTGTCACAGCAGCGGGCGGATGACGCCTGAAAACTTTGAGAAGACCATGCAGCACATTGTGAAGCACATGGGGGCAAACAAGGACAATCCAGTCGTCTTGGTGCTCGACAATCACGTCAGCCATGTCAGCCTGAACGTGTTGACATTGGCGAAGGACAGTGGTGTCCATATCGTGACCACCTCCTCGTACGAGTCACAGGCTCCAACCGCTCGATGTCACCGTCTTCGGTCCGATGAAGACAAGCTTCGACAAGCAGGTAGACAGCTGGATGCTCCAAAACGGGGGAAAGCTCACCAAGCTTCCGAACATGGGGAAGCTCATGGGACAGGCGCTGATCCGTTCGGCCACCCCAGCCAACATCCTGTCCGGCTTTCGAACGACAAGAATCTGGCCACTGGACACTGAAGTCTTCACCAATGATGACTTCCATCCCGCAGACGTGACCGACAGACCAGCCCTCTCAGCGACTGCAGGAGAGCCCATATAGTTTTTTAATGTACAATTTTGTATCCTAAAGGATCTTCCAGCGAGCCATGTTGTCCAATGCCTATGCCTATGTTCCATAACCGTATCCTTACACTTCCTGGTCCTCCATCTTTTAAGGCAAGACCCAAAGTGGAGCCGAGTCGTCGAGGGCGGAAAACAGGAAAGACCATGATAGCTACGAGTACACCAGAGCTGCAAAGAAAAAAAAAGGAGGAAGAGGAGAAGAAGACCCAAAAGTCGCAAGCCAAACACGAGCGTGTATCAAAGCGACTGTTCTATGCCAAGAACTTGCTTACACGAAAGGTAAGAAGTGAAAGCTGGGAGGTGCAAAGGACTTGCTAAAGGCTGACGATAAAGCGTCGCGTCTGTACTATAGGATGCAGTTGTTCAGCTGTGAATCGTGGATCCAGTGTACGACATACAAAAAGTGGGCGTGCTTGCCGTGTACCGATGCAACAACCTGGCGGGCACAGTTTGTATGTGACGTCTGCTGAGGCTGATGATCCGTTCATCCGCTGTAATCCGATATGATCCGCTATGTCGCGGGCATCGCATTAGCTGTGCTGATTTAACGTGATTAGTACGATGTGTAGGAAGTTTTGTGACCGTTTACGTTAAATGGGTGTCTAGGATAGGTACCGATATTGTTAGTCATGTGATCCGCTATGTTGCCATCAACGCATTGGCTGTGCAGATTCAACGTGAGTAGTGCGATGTTTAAGAAGTTTTGTGATAGTTGCTTTGCATGTTTGGTGTTTAGACTGCCGAGATTGTGAGTCCTACGATCCGCTGTGCTAGAAGTATCGCGTTGGCTGTGCTGATACGTGATTATGCGAAGTGTAGGAAGTTTTTGACCGTCGTCTTTGCCTAGTATGTGCCTGAACTGCCGAGGTTGATAGTCATATGACCCGCTGTGCCGCAGGCAGCACATTGGCTGTGATGATTTAACGTCATTATTACGACTGCGGGTTGTGTGGCGGTGTCGTCTGGTTGTTGTGTAGACTGCTGACATTACTACCAGCCGGATCTTATGTTAGAAATACCTTCCCGTTGTTTGGGTCCTTCTGCCAAGAACAGAATGGTTATTTGGAGGTGGAAAATATATCCTGAATTCATGTTCTAAAATGCTGTGTCTTAGTTTTAGCACGAGAGAAATGAAACGGATATGCTACCATTTTCAGCGGAAGGAAACGTTGCCACGACCATTGACAAACTCTTGAACGCAAGTAGATGGCAATGCAGTGCACTCACTTTACCATTTGCAACTTAATTATATAACATGTAGCTAAGTAGAAATTTTGTCCCAATACTTCTCAGTATATCCCAATTCATATTCACGTCTGTCCCGATTCTCCTGCGTGCGTCCCGATTCTCCTGTAAATGAAGATCTTTGTTTTTGCTCCACGCGAGTCGTATCCTACCACAAAGTCAAACTTGCTTATTAGTATGAGGTAAATAAATATCCAATTTATTGATTAGTATGGTGCAATGTTACCTGGCTTTCATAATTTTGCTGCAATGACTCATCAAAGTTGAAGTTGCAAAAGTGTCCCAGTTCTCCCAATCTTATGCATTAAGTGAGAGCAAGGACCGGACATGTTTTGACATTTTATAGGCACTTTTCGTTCGTGTACAGGAAACGATATGCGGAGACGGATTCGTTTTTTTTCCGACGCCGGGCAGCATCCATGGTTCCAGGTTCAGAATCTTGTCTTCCTCTCGCACTCAAGTGGTGCGTTAGTTCAAGGACTTGCATTTCAGGCGGCTCTTAAGCTACGTCACGAACCAAATGAGACACACAACAAAACACATCAGATTCTTTATTGACACGTATAAAATTGTCAGACGGGCCATATAAAAGAAATATTAGAAAACCCTACACATTCGGGAATGGTGATACAAACGAACAAGTGGTCATACCAAAACCGGTCACGCCATCCATCGAGTAACGTCGCACCCAAACTTTACACCGACTCCACCAGAGGCGCTGACGCACCAGAACGCAAACGATGCAGCGCTCTGACCGAACGAGCACACCTACTCTTTTGACGGAATCGGGGACGACAACGGATTTGATGCATGGCACGCGAAGCTGCGCAGCCGCCCCGCTGGGCACAGCAGGCGCGCTGCCTCCGTGTGATGAGTTGGCGTCGGGCGTGTGCGCTACAACGGCCGCCAGGAGCTCTCCTTAAGTCTCCGAATATTCTCGGACACCTCATGCACGCCTGCACGCAGGCCAGACTTCACCTATGGCCGTAAAAACACTACCACACGCCGGAACTATGCAGCTGATCTAACAAGGGGACTACCACGTAACACTCAATGCGTACTTTAATAAATAAAGGCCATGATAATACAACGGCGCATTTCAAACACTGAGGTAACCGGAACATACTATAAGAACGGAGACAATGCCTGCAACTCAGGCCGCTGGCAAACAGAACCGACGCGAGCGGCGGGTCGTCCCCAGCTCCGACAGATTGTGCGACTCAGTCCCAAGTCCGCGCGAGCCGATGACCAAGGCAGCATACCGGGCGACGCGGCGCATCGGCCGGGCGCGGCATCGAAATACAGCGATACACCTCAACAGCCAGCTACTGACATAGGAACGCCACGGGGTACAACCACAAACTGACGGCTATCGGACACATGCACGCACATCCAGCTCCACCCGGCGACTATTCACACTGAGCAAAGAAGACATACGGCCCTGGGGATTGTCGGCGGCGTGTGGGAGGAGGGAGGATTGCAACACGCCCACCACGAGCGCGTCCATTTGGCCGGGAACATTACCGGGTCGCTCTGGACCGTCCGGAAGAGGCGCAGCGGTACTTCGGACGCAAGCATCCGCGTCTGACGGTACTCACGAAAGGTTGGCCGCGGCCGCACTCCGCGCAGTACGCGTCGGTTGAGCGGGTACACCTTTGCGGGCCGCTGCGGCGGACTTTGGCGCGCTAGTGGCCCGCTGCCGGGGGCCAGACCGCCGCAGCCGGGGTGGCTCGGTAGGCCACGGCGCTGTCTGAACTTTGGACCATGATTTCGACAGCCGAGGCCGGACGGGACGCCCGTGCCGCCGCGCGGCTGCTGTGCGCGTTCGGGTGCCCGCTCTGTGCGTTCAGCAGGTAGAGCAGCGTACGCCGTCGTCGGCTCCCGTTCCACCTGGCGTCTAGCATCTGACCTCGCATGACGCCGGCCGGGGCCGCGTCGTCGCCACCCTCGTCCCACGAGCCATGCCACTCGCCGACGGTGGAGGTGAGAAGCCGGGGCCGTCGCCGCTGGCCACCCGGCTCGGCCCAGCTCGGGCCAACAGCAGAGCGGTTGAGCGCGGCGCCAGAACGCGCTGTTCCGGCTCCCATCAAATACAAAACCACGGCACGAAAAGGTGAAAAAAATAGTTCATGAATGTTTGTACCGAACGTCTAGCCTAGAACTTGCCATAATCACAAGACTAACCCTAATTTTGCACTAGAGCGCCACGTGCGGCGTGGACATGATATCGCCCCGCTGCTATGACGGCACACTATGTAGAGAAGATGGCTGCCGGCTACCTCGGACTGCAGATACCTGCAACAGGGCACCGGGAGGTGTCGAGCAGTTCGCAGCTGATCCTGCCCTCTGCACGTGCTCTCCCACGATGACAAATGGGAGTTCCAACTTAAAAAAACTAAACACTAGTCAAAAGCGAATACGGGGCTTAATGAGGAGATCTCCTAGTGAGCACAGTGAGTTACCCGTGTGCTCTGTGGATGCAGGCCACAGATGCTCATCCGAACGCTCTGTGAACAGACAGCAGAAGGCCCTGCTCGCCATGAAATATGTGGATTGGACAGACAAAGCAGGTTCCCCTCACCGATAGAGCCTGTGGGTGCAGGCTCCATTACCCCCGCACGAGCCTTAGGGGCAGAGGTAGGAGACCACTCACCCATGAGGTCTGTGGGTGCAGGCTCCATTTCTCCCGCACGAGCCTTAGGGGCAGAGGTAGGAGACCACTCATCCATGAGGTCTGTGGGTGCAGGCTCCATTGCTCCCGCACGAGCCTTAGGGGCAGAGGTAGGAGACCACTCACCAATGAGGCCTGTGGGTGCAGGCTCCATTGCCCCCGCACTGGCCGTAGGGGCAGAGGTAGGGGACCACTCACCCATGAGGTCTGTGGGTGCAGGCTCCACGATGCCTTAGGGGCAGAGGTAGGAGACCACTCACCCATGAGGTCTGTGGGCAGCGAGCCACGTCGCTTGCAGCCAGCCGGCGGCGGCGTCGGCCCGTCGACGGACGAGACGGCGCGCAGCCGCAGCAGCAGCGCCAGCCGGAGCTGGCCGAACGCCTGGTCGGCGTCGGCGTCCGGCTGCGGTGGGCCCGAGCCCCGCCTGGTGGGCAGCCAATCCACCAGCAGTTCACGTCGGTCCCACCAGGCAGCCTCGATCTTCATGCCTGGCGACATGCACACTGATGTCAGGCGCTTGGAGGGGGGGGGGGGGGGGGGGGGGGGGGGGGGAGGCGGGATGGAGGGCGACGCGTCCTCGGGTAGCCACCATGATGGAGTCATGGACGATGAGGTCAGGGTGAGTTTGAGTCACGGCTGGCGGCAGGGTTATTCACAATCAGCAACCCACTTTTACAAATATTGCGCCGCTCCATCGAGAGATCTGCACAGCATGGGCGAATGACTCATAACCAGCGTGATGGTTCTCTCGCAGTGCATGACAGGAGCCTTATCGATTTTCCCCCGGTGAAACACGGGGTGGGTGAACCTACACTGGAACCTTTCACATGGCTCGATGAAAACCTGTGAAGTCTCTGGCCTTCGGCGGCAGACTGACATGGGGCCAACAACACTCGGCAATATGACAGGAACATCGATTGCATGGCATGTTCTTCTTCCAATCCTCCAAAACCATACGCATGAGTCATCCACAAACACCTACATTCAGACAGCGGAGCCATTACAGAGGATAACAAAAGCCAGACGGCCGAAGAGCCTCCGCGCAAGCGATGGTGCAACAAACAGGCTGGCTATCGATTAAAGCCAGGCAGGGCTGGCCGTTAGCTAAAGCCAGACAGGGGTCAGCGCTGGGCAGCTCCAACAGCCCGCATGGTCACTTGCCAGGCCCCCAGCCGATTAGCATTTGGAGATGTGGCCAACGGACGCTGGCATGACCGTCACAGCCACGTGTGATCTGTGAAAAGGCTGCAACACGATGCGCGCCCAAGAGACCAAACATGCAGAGGCGGGAGCTTGGGCGGCAGGCGGTGGGGCGGCGAAGCGGCGGAGACTGACCTTTCAGACGGGCGGCCAGGCAGACGCGGTCACTGGAGGGCGGGAGAGAGCCCCGCCTGGGCGCCCCAGCATGCTTCCAACTCTCTACGGCAACAGACACGGAGGCACGTCAGAGACGCCGAAGGGGCGGCCACGGTCCTCCCACACACACACACACTGCAACCCGATGCAAGGTGGCGCTGCAGAACACTCCACACGCACGCACACACTAATCGAAAACGGTTCTGTACCAAAGGAGGGGCCACGCTGAGTTCGCCCACCTTTTCGAATGGCGGTTCGAGGACAGAACGAAAGGGTGTCACCGTGCGGACGCCAACACGTGCTTGCAAACGTCACTACGCCCCCAGGGTTAGTCATCCGAACAACTGTGCGGTGACGCACCAGGAAACCTATCTCTACGCTAGAGGCCGACGCCGGGCGGGCGCCTCGTAGCAAGCGGGCCATTACACACCACACGCCCCGGGCTGCGGGGTCGCCGCATGCAAGACGCCCCTGCTCCACTCACCCTCGGTGAATGAGCTGTTGCGAGCGAGCGTGCGCGCCTCCTGCGCGCAGCCCAGCTTGACGGGCGCCGACCCGCGCCTGCGCAGCGTGTCGCCCAGGTTTCCGGCGCTGCGGCGCCCGGGCGCGCCGCGCAGCACACCGCCGGCCGGTACGCGATTCTCCTTCTCGAGCAGCGGCCAGGCCGGCTCTGGCCGTCGGCGGCCCAGCTGGCGGCGCCGGTGCGTGTTGACGCGCTCGCCGAGCACCGAGTGGAAGGCGCGCAGCTGCGCGACGGCATCGGTGCGCGCCGACGGCGGCGTGCTGCAGCCCTGGCCCGGCCGGCAGCCGGTCGGCGGACCGCTCACCGGCAGCGAGAGGTAACGCACGCGCGACGCGTCGCCCGGCTGCGTGAGCGGGAAGGTGCGCTGGCGTGCCAGGCGACCCTCGCCGGCCGACAACGCTGGCGGCGGCGGCGGCGAGCCGGGCGGCGAGCCGGGCGGCGATAGCGACGCAAGGCTGCCCGAAGACGCGTCGCGATTGGGCGTCGGCGTCCAGTTGCTGAGCGGCGTGGCGGTGCCACCGGCCGTGATGCTCGTGATGCTGGGGTCCGGCAGCAGGTACTCAGCGCTGATGTCGCTCTCGCCCTCAGCCTCCTCCGGCACGCGGAGGCTGGCCAGTGAGCAGACCGAGAGCAGGCTGGGCCCGCCGGCGCGCTGCAGGTGCAGCAGCGTCTCGGTGCGCAGGCGCCGCGGTGGTTGCGCCGGCAGACTCTCGCGTCGGATGATGGTGCGCGCCACGGGCCGGGGGAAGTTGACGGGTGCGCTGTGGCGCCGGCTGCCGTGCGCCGGCACCGTCAGGAGCTCGCGCAGCTCCGACTCCGACACGCTCTCCGACACCTCGTCGTCGGTCGGGTCGTCGAGCCGCACGACGTCCGTGTCGGACATCTCCGTCTTGGTCTCCTCCTCGGTCTCCTGCTGCAGCCAGCGCTCCCAGCAGGCGTGGTTGTGGTCCAGGTTACGCATCATCTCACACGACAGCGGCGTCGTCAGCCAACGGTGCCACTCGAAGAACAGCGGGCGCACAACATGGCGGAAGAACCCTGCCGGCGGGGAGTGACTGTCGGGCCGGCAGAGAACAGCACACGACGCCTCTGGCCGACGGGGAGTGACTGTCGGGCGGGCAGAGAACAGCACACGACGCCTCTGGCCGGCGGGGAGTGACTGTCGGGCGGGCAGAGAACAGCACACGACGCCTCTGCCGGCGGGGAGTGACTGTCGGGCGGGCAGAGGACAGCACACGACGCCTCTGGCCGGCGGCAGCGTGTGGGGCCCCACGTAGAGAATGTAAACAAGAGCGGGGTTATCCGGAAACGGGACCCGCAGCGGGGAAGCTTCTGACGGCGGAATTTATGCAAGTCTGTTTGTTGGCACTGAGTTAAGAGCTTTGTAGAGTTTCACACATATTTGTTGCTTCTGAGCCCGGTCCAAAAGTGTTTCGCGTGTTAACGTTCTCATCAGGAACACGGCAATGCATCGCAGCTTACTGAAGGAAGCAGATTCACTGACGGACAAAGATAAATAAGCGAGAGACCGCCAAATCCAATGTCAGTTAGAGGTCTAACCATGCTGTTAGTTCAAAGACACCAAATCATTTGTCTTACGAAGGATTGAAACATCGGCTACGCGAAGGGATGTTTCAAGACCAAATGCTTTTCGAGGAAAAATTGCAGGGACCATTACATCTTATAAGGGCAGTACAATCTAAGCATCCTTTCAGAACGAACGTCAGGCTGGTAGCCGAACACCAACTAACTTGAAACCGCTTCAATGCCTAGCGCAAAGCGGGCCATTCAGAACCAAGCAGTGACCCTTGAGCTTCCCCAACTGTTGCGTGATTTGCTATCGGCATTCGGTGAATCGTCCACTCGCGACTTTCAGTTCTAAGAAGTGGTCTGATCGGGGCAAACATAAACATGTATCTCCGGATGTCCTGACGTCCCTGCGGATGGACCAAAGGTATTGATGTCACTAGACCGTTCATTTACGTCAATAGTCGGAATTACCACCAGCGAAGCAAGCAAGCGATCCATGTGCTACCATGGGGCATTTGCAGCACCATGCAACGTTAACCATAACATCATTGAATTTGGTTCGTTTAAAGGCCTTGTTGTGAGGGCCCATCATGGGGCCCCTCAGATATGCGCAGATAAGAGTGAGCGGCGAGGGGGGGGGGGGGGTGGCTACATACCGCAGACTAACCACTGTTTACACTAGCAGGGTACACAAACAGTGTCGGTGTATGGCTGTCTTGTCTCAGCACGAGTCAGACAGGGTGTGCGACCGTGCACTATATCTGGTCACCGGCCGGGCCGTCGACGGCCAGCGCCCGCCAGCCGCCTCTGGAATGCGGCACACTGGGGGGGGGGGGGGGGGGGGGGAGAGTACCACAGACACATGGTCGTCACGTGACTCGTGGGTTCACGCACGGTGATCCTGGTGTAAACACGGCAGCGGGGCTTACAGCAGCTCCGCCAACAAGGTATGCTGGAGAAACTGCTATAGGTTTTTCATTGGTATAAAGTGGCCAAATCATAACCAGAAGCCGTATTGCCGAGAATATTTTTTGGCATATTCACATGAAGACTAAGCGCGCACATAGTGACTGCGCGGCAAGTGAATGTGGTTTTTGTGAATTTGTGAATGTGAAATTTGAATGCTCGCCAAAAACACTGAAGGCTTTTTGCCTTGGTATTTATAGCTGCACAAAATCCATACAGATTTAAATAACACGTATAATTTTTTTCGCAGGCCTGCCAACATACATTCGTTTCGCCTATGAGCCAATGAGATGCCAGGCAGGCCCAGCTGGCTTGAGATCTGCAGTCAGACAATTTGATGGTAAACGAAAGAAAAGGGATGCTCGCGAGTGCTCCTCAGCAGGGTGTTCGTCAGCGGTCTTCAATGAAGTGTTCCCCGGAAGCACCGCTGGCTGGCAGGGCAAGTGATGATCTCATAGAAACTCAGGACGACGGGAGCCCACTCCTCAAAACAGCACACCCCGCTGTAGCGGCTGCGCAGTTGCTGAGATCTTGTGGCAAGTCAGATATCTTCAAAGCAATGGGCCGCAAGGCAAAGGTCTCGCACTGGACCACGCGTCACACAAGCAACAACGCAATCATGGTCGTCCTCGGTTGATATGGAAATACCATTATCAGGTTTAAGGGTGCAATTTCAGAGCGAAAGCTCTCCTACGCAAGCATAGCTCCGCAAACGACTATCATTGCGGTACTATGCGTCAGCAGCATACCTAAACGCAACTCACCAACTTGTATTTTGGCGACGGAGCTTCCGGTGCGGTCACACAAACTGGTAATTGGCAAGTTCAGCTTTCTTTCGTAGTCTCCCTGACGGTAGAACTCATCACAGACCTGCGGGCACAAGACGGAGTTTTCACCATGGAAGTGAACATAGCAGCATCTAATACATCTTACACCTATCCATGGAAACGAACATGTCTGAAAACATGTCACGGAGGAAACGTACGCGGTGTCTACCACATTGAGGAAGACCGAAATGAATCATGGAATGACACGTCACAACAGAGCAGCCACAAAGTCGAAATGGCTGCCATAAGCCGTTCGGAGCCCGCACAGTGAGTCAGTGAGCGGCCATGGCTCTCATAGCGTCACCGGCCGCTGAGGGAGTGAACATTCAGTTTGTTTACCAAAGGTTAAGCACACCAAGTCCGGCACGTCCATAAACGCTGGGTCGTGGGGTATACAGAAAACAAAATGTGCTCCTGGAAACCTGTGAGGTGGGAGAAAAATGTCGGAAAACAACGATGCAGATCTGGGGGCATTCGAGACCCTAGAAGACTCCCTCTCCGGTGCAAGAGCGCCCGCGTGGATGATGACCCGCACCAAGCGTTCATATGGCCGCAGTTTAACGTGCCTGCAATGCGACCATGCAGTGCGTGCATCCCACGCATCGTGCGCTTTCAAACTCACTTAGCAAATATCCAACAGCTCTGCTCACTGTGCACGCCGGCCAGCAGATGTCACGTTTTGACATTGTCACGCTCGCACCGCTATTCACCCGAAGGTAAATCCCCCCACTCTTCCCGCGGCGCACAATGGGTGGAGCTATTCCGACAGTCACCTCCCACCTACAACTGCCTAGCAGTTTACAACGCGGCCGTAGTTCGAGTCGCCTGCCCGGTACCTGTTGCCCGGACTGTACGTTAGCTCAGCTCTACGCGTTATACGCTCCGGTTAGCCCTGTAAATGGTGCTATGCCCGTCTATTGAACTGCATTCAGGGGGGCCAGCTGGTGATCGACGCTTGATCTGTCGGATCGACACACCATCGCACCGTCGCACCGTCGCACATCCCGCTGTCAGCATCAGGTCCCCATCTCAGGTCCCCAATGCCGACGCACTGCCGGCGGAAGCGTCGAGCGGCAGAGAGGGATGCAGGGCGGGACGGTGGAGGGATGCAGGGAGCGGCCTGCGGAGGGATGTCGGGAGGGACGGAGGAATGCAGGGAGGGGCGCCGGGGGATGCAGGGAGGGGCGCCGAAGGGATGCAGGAGGAGGAGGAGCGATGCAGGGGGGGGGGGTGGGGGTGTCGGCGGAACGATGCGGGGAGGGGCGGCGGAGGGATGCTGGAAGGAGCAGCGGAAGGATGCGGGGAGGGGTGGCGGAGGGATGCTGGAAGGGGCAGCGGAGGGATGCGGGGAGGGGAAGGGAGGGCTGCGAGTCACGCGGTGCTCACTGCCGCGCCGATCCTCTCAACCGGAGATGAAAATGGACTAAACAAAAGTCAATACTGTGACGTCGAACGCAAACAGTCCCGATGCTGGGGCAGCCCTGCCTGCCGCGGCCGGAAGCTACAGCATCAGTGGAGGGACCTTCTAACAACAGCAGCGGCACCGTCGTTATCGGAAGAAAATAATATTAAATAGCTGACACATTTTCTGTTATTCACATCCCTTCCATGAGGCCGCGTTCCTCCATCAGTAACACCACCTCTATCCGTTCCGAGCCTGTACCGGTATGTTCGGCGCCGATACGCAATCAGATGGGGAACACGCGTTAACAGAGAACTCTGAGCGTCTGATATTCCCGCCAACGTGGCGAACGCTAACGCGGAGAGAGAGAGAGAGAGAGAGAGAGAGAGAGAGAGAGAGAGAGAGAGAGAGAGAGAGAGAGAGAGAGAGAGAGAGAGAGAGAGAGAGAGAGAGAGAGAGAGAGAGAGAGAGAGAGAGAGAGAGAGAGAGAGAGAGAGAGAGAGAGAGAGAGAGAGAGAGAGAGAGAGAGAGAGAGAGGAGAGAGAGAGAGAGAGAGAGAGAGAGAGAGAGAGAGAGAGAGAGAGAGAGAGAGAGAGAGAGAGAGAGAGAGAGAGAGAGAGAGAGAGAGAGAGAGAGAGAGAGAGAGAGAGAGAGAGACCCTTCACAGTGCCGGCGGGATAAGTGCAGGTCTGCCGACCGCACAAGGCCACGAATGGCTTGCGGACACCTGCAGTGACGGGGCCTCAAGGCCGACGCCCCTCTCCGCCGTCATCGAACTCAATAGCGGCACGGCCGACCAACGGTCCCGACGACGCTCCGGCATACGATAACTATCAGCACCAGCATCAGCTGATCAGATCGACCCACCAGCTCGCAGCAGTCATCGTGGATCTGACACGGCCCTTTGGAGCAGATGGGTAATCTGTGAGCGGTGTGAAGCCTGCCGTTTCCTTGTGGTTTTGCCCATGCTGGATTCTTGACCTTCGTTCAGCCTCTCTCTTTTCCTTTAGGCAGCAAGCCTGCCACCAACAGCGTTTCATACCGCAGGTGTGCACGGCGCGCGCCAGCCGGTGTCGCCAGATTGTGTCAGTCGGTGTCATGAAGTAGTGTCAGTCGGTGTCACCAGATAGAGTCGATCAGTGTCATCGACTGGCGTTATGCATTGTCACCGACTAATGTTCGCCCGTGTCACCAGTATGTGTCAGTCTGTGTCACCAACAAGTGTCAGGTAGTGTCACCAACTAGTGTTAGTCCGTGTCACCAGTCGGTGTCACTTTGTGTCAGCAGTGCATTTCAGTGCGGGAAGGGCCGGCCGCCGACCGAGCACGGCCAACAGGCTTTCCGCGTTACGAGCGACATTTCGGTGGTTTACGAGCGGAGGGCGGGAGGGCGGCGGGCGGCCGCGAGGGGTCGCCAGACACGCCGACCTCCAGCCGCCGCCGACGGCGGCAGCGGTCACGTCTGGGGCGAAGCGCGGCGGGGTGTCAGGCGGGAGCAGCCCGCGGTGGCCCAGGAGCAGCCCGCGGTGGCCCAGGAGAAGCCCGCGGTAGCCCCACAGCTCGGAAGAAGCTGTGGGGCTACTGCGGCCGCACATCTAGGCATCAATTGTTCGTGCGGCGAACGTGCTACCATGCATGCGGCGCTTTCTCAACCTGGCGATGTTACTGTTTCATGGGAGTGACAACAAAAGCTCTACGGATGACAGTGCCGACGCCCCCCCCCCCGCCCCTTCCTTCTGGCTGAGGAGTATCTGCGTCATTGACAATGGGGGGGGGGGGAATAGCTCATAGTCCCGAGTCAATATTTCCGAGTCAATCCAGAAGACCTCTCGTCCAAGATATCGTGCACGTGTCCAGCCGTCCATTTCTTTAGTCCGCCCACCCCGAGAGCCATTAGGGACATCTGACAGCTTAATCGTTCCCTCCGCACCTGGATCTGCTTTCCCCTCGCCCTCCCCTCCAGCAACAGTACCAGTTCCTCCGCACCTGGGCCTACGCTACCCCTCCCGCAACCGCACCGTTCCCTCCGCACCTGGATCTATCCCGCCATCGTGCCGTGCGATGCGCCGGCGAATGCGGAGCCGGTCCCGCGCGCGGCTGGGGGGGGGGGGGGGGGGGCACCAGTCTGCCGGCGTGGCGTACCTTTCTGCTCCATTTCTGGCTGATGTCCCATGAGCGGCACGGGTTGGAGATGTCGGCGCACTTGAGCGCAATCTGCAGGATGAAGTGCCGGTGCGCCGCCCACCGCATGTTCAGCGAGGAGTTGGTCATGTAGCTCTGCGGCGCGGCGGCACGCCGGGTCAGCCGGCGGCCAGCGCGCCACTTTGGTCAGTGCGCACAGCCAACAGGTGTCAGCTGTCCGACCGGCGCAGGGGTCACATCACATGAAGTCACGACGTGGGCTGACCGAGAGACATGACCTCATCAAAAGGCCACAGGTTTGAGTTTTCATCCACACAACTGGCGTCTCATTGATGTGCTCATGGCTTTCCAGTTTGAACAGCTATGCCTTTGCCAATTCAACAGCCCTGGCTTTGCGCCAGGCAGGATCACGAAAGGTCGTCATCAAGGGCCAGGAGAATAGTCCAGCATACGGATTATGGGCTAAGTGGGAGCTGGCAGTCTGCCCGACCCAACGAAAGGTCAGCCTGTCGGCCGCACCAACAACTTGTACCAAATTTTTCACCTGGCATAATGTCGGAGGCCACACGCACGCACGCACGCACGCACGCACGCACGCACGCACACACGCAAACACACGTGCACACACGCGCGCACACACATGTTCAGCGCCGAAAGGCGGAGGACACACTATTAGTCCTAAAGTTCGACAGCGTTTCCGGAGACAAAGCTGCCGACCCGCCGTAGTCGCACCCGCGAGCCCAGCCGTGGCACCGCAGGCGAAACGACGGGCCGTGCTCGCACCAGCGGCTCGTGCCGGGCCAGTCACATCGCGATCACCAGCCGTGGAATAGCCGCGATCAATAGCCGTGGACGCTCTGTCGAACGTCGCCGGACCGACAGTCGCGGCGCTTCAGTCCCGTCACCGCCGCAAGTCACCGGCGCCGACCGTCGACGGGACCGACGGCGGCGGCGCGGCCATGTTGGCAGGCCAGAAGGGATGAACAGGATGCTAGGGAGCAGAAGGGCACGGGGATGCGACACGGCACAGGTGAGCGAGTGCCGGTCAGTCGAAACTGTCAACTTACCTCCCTTCGGCCATATCGTTTGCGCTACCTCCCAGCGTCATCTCTAGCTGTCCTTACCTCCTGCACGGCGGCGCCCGGCGGCCGCGCCCCACCGGCGGCCGCGCATCAGTCAGCGGCCGCGCGCCGCCGCTGCTTATCTGGCATGGCCTCACCTGGAACTGAGCGATGAACTCGCCCTGGCGCGCGATATCTGTGGCCAGGATGAGCGAGCGGATCTGGCCCATCAGCTCTGAGAAGATGATCGGGTCCAGGTGACTGAGCATGCCCGAGTCGGCCACGCAGCCCACCGCCATCCGCCAGTGGTGGTTCTCCAGAACCGAGGCGTTCTGCCGATGGACACACGAGCTGGGGTCAGAGGTCGGCCAGCCGGGCGGCCGACGCTGCCCAACTGGATCGATGGGGGTTTTGGCGGCTATGCTAAGCTGCGGGAGAAAAATAAATATCCGGTCAATGATGCGATTCATGATTCAAATATTTCATAAGACGCCTTGAGTTGTCAATATATATATATATATATATATATATATATATATATATATATATATATATATAATATGCATATGCATTTATATGCATTTGTGTGTATATATAGATAAATATATATGTATTTATATATGCATGCACATGTATTATTCTTCAAATCGTATGCCACCCGAAAACTTAGCGCGACATCAGAGACACAATCAGGCCGAAATCTAGCCGGGTGAGTAGGAGCCTAACGGATAAGCACCTGTCTTGTACCGCAAAAACTTCCCGCGGAGTTGGCGCATCTGTGACGCGACGTCGGCTACGAGGAGCCGTTCATGGTGCAGCCCGTGGGAAAATCTGAACGCACGACCACGCGCTCTGTTCTCAAGTGGGTGGAAGCTTGAGGTGCAAAGTTTTCGTCTACGCATGAGATTGCCAGTCATTCTCCTGGAGTGGGGTATTCGGATGGCAAAACCCGTCTCTGCTGGAGTCTAGCCGCTGCAAAAACCCATCCTAATACCGGCGGTGCCCTATTCTGCGGCCGCGACGGGGACTCGGACGGCTGTTGCGACACCGGTGACATGGTTCACTCTTCTGAGACAATGCGCCCGGCTACAAAAGGCGAACATTTTATCACGTCGAGCTGCACAAGACAGAATGTTTGTCTGAGCTGCTGAAGGCTGCGGCCGACAGGAATGTCCGCAAAAGACCGAGACTTCCCGCCAAAAATGATGACCGAATCTTACGGGTGCGGTCGGGAGGTGGCGGAATAATGCGGTGTGCAGCGGTCGGAATGGCAGCGACCTCTGCGCGACGGAAATACTGCCCTCATCCCCACTAATCGCCGTCTCCACCATGCACGCTCATCGTACGGCATGCCACGACACTTCACACAACTAAGCTGGTATTTCCGCCGCAGGGGTTCGCTCGCAATCACTCAGGTCAACCGCACTGCTCTCCACACTAGCAGACGCACCGCACTGGCCCGTAATTCACAACCTGAACTAGCTCTGTCTGAATCGCGTCCGTTCTGCATGACCAAGGTAACTTCAATTACGTATGATTATTAACTAATCTAGCCCAAACACACATGTCAACTACAAAGACAGGCATTTTTAGGCAATTCGAGCACCGTTCAAACGCCGGCAGAGCTGATCCTGACCGTGACCCCGTGGTGGCCCCAGGGTGTCGAGGCCACCGTACAAATCTCGGCAAGGTTGACCCTAACCGTGACTCCCTGGTGGCACCAGGATGCTAAGGTCACCGTACAGACCACGGCAGGACCGACCCTGACCGTGACCCCGTGGTGGCCCCAGGGTGTCAAAGTCAGGGACGTGGTAGCGGTTCGACCGACCTTGTACAGCGTGGCCAGGTGGTTGGCGGTGGCGATGAGGAAGGGCTGGTTGACACCCGGGTGGTCCAGGTCGTGACACACGGCCCCCAGAACCGCAGCCATCCGCTCCATCGGCGTCAGGTGCTCTGTGACCTGAGATCGGGGGCCACAGCGGTTAGTGACGATCACGAGCGAACTAAGATACAAGCGTGTTGATGAAGAACGGGTCTCAAGATCCAAAGGCAGGATCCCGTCATTACACTTCTGTGTGAGATCCGGGATTCACCATGGGATACCAACTCATGTCTGTACTAGGCTGATGGGATGACCAGGATAAGGCGTGTCACAAGACTTCATCAGGCCGCCGAAGTCATCCGGGTCTGACGGAGCCAAGCAGGCCTGGAGATGCCGACCGGGTCACGGAGGTCACGGAGGTCAACGGAGAGTGAGAGTGTGACCCGCAGAAGTCGCCAGCTCAAAAGCGTCGCGTAGCATTCCAACACAGAACGCAGCTTGCCTGCGCAAATTCGAGTTTCGGGCGTCACGCAGACTCCCCGTGCGAGCAAAAGCCATGGCCAGGGGAGATCACCGCAGTTTCGCTGGAGAACGCGGAATCCAGCGGCCGTCGCGGGGCTCGATGACGGCGAGCGCCAGCAGCCATATGCCAGCACCATTCAGGTCGCGCCCATGATGAGCGGGGCTTCATCGTGTCGCGACGCCAGCACTCAAAGCAGAAGACCGGCAGGCAGCGGGCATTCCCACCAGAGGCCATGAGCTGCCCTGATAGCAGAAGACCCAGGCGTTGGCCCCGTCCGCCGACACCGGCCGCCGCGCGGAGCAGGGTAGGGCGACGGGGGGAGGGCGGCAGGCCAGGGCGCGAGGGCTGACATGCCTGAGCTGGCGGTACTTTCAGCGTTGGTCGGAGCAGGGTAGGGCGACGGGGGGAGGGCGGCAGGCCAGGGCGCGGGGACTGACATGCCTGAGCTGGCGGTACTTCCAGCGCTGGTCGGAGCAGGACAGGGCGACGGGGGGGGGGGGGGGGGGCAGGCCAGGGCGCGGGGGCTGACGTGCCTGAGCTGGCGGTACTTTCAGCGCTGGTCGATGCTCTTAGCCCAGCAGTTAAGCGGCCATCAAAGGTGGGAGGACCGGCCCACCCCACTCAGCGCCACGGTTTGGAAAAGTTTGGGCCGCCACCTGCGCCGTGTAATTAAACGTAAAAGCATAACCGTTTCACTCGCTTGATGAGATAGGTGTCTGCCAGGAATGCACGGCGAATTTACGTGCATCGTGGGCATAACGTGCCAGTAGTGCTGATTACAGCTTAAAAGGCAGTTGCCGCGCTTGTGGCTTCGCTTTTGCGCGCCATGGTATGTCATGGTTTATGTGGACTAAAAATCAAGCCGTGCTGCTAATCTGGACGCTTAGTTATGTCACCGACTCGTTTCGTTTACCGTTATCGCTAAAATGCTTCGAATGTTTAAGCGATGCGATCACATGATCACCTTCATCATGGCCATGATGTGTACATAACGAATATGACTTAAACCAATGCTTTGGTTCGGAGGGTACGTGGTGGATTCGTAGGGAACAGTGAAGACAGAAAAAGCTGCAGCTCCGCAAAGTTAAACGGGGCTCCAAAAACATACCAAGTCCCCAACAATTTGAGTGTGCGCCAAAACGCATACAAATGACGCAATACATGCCTGCCACTTTAGTGTTCGCCATTTCCCACCTGTGACGCAGGGTCAGAAAAGCCAGAGAGCTCGTCAAATTGCGGGATCCCAAGAATTTGAGTGTGCGCCAAAACGCATACAAATGACACAATAAATGCCCCCCACTGAAGCGTTGGCCATCTCCCGCCTGTGACGCGTGGTCACGAGCGTCAGTTTGACGAGCTAGAGAGCCCGTCAAACTGAGGAATAGGTCTCGTCGGGCCATCTGGGGGCCATACCATTGCAGGGTCGCGAAATGTTTAATGTCCCTCATCTTGACGAAAGCCTGAGTCTGCCCCTGTAGTTTACTTACCAATTATTCAGCATCACATCATTAGCTCAACATCATATCATTGGCTCAGTATCATTGGCTTAGCTCAGTATCTATTTTATTACGCCATTTCCGTATCTGGAAACGCTTTAATGTACTAGCGTGCCGTTATATTAAAAGCAGAATATATATTTGAGACTTACGCACCAGGTAAAACTGGCATGACTGCTTTCTGGACTTCACCTCGCGACGATCTCCGTAAACTTGGATGGCGTTAGGAAAAACAGAAGCCTCATGCTAACTAGTTCGTCGCTTCTACATCACGCGAGGCAACCTGTTCAGCCTACAGAACCGATGGCAAGGAACGAACGAGTGGGGTGTCCGTCAGCGCAGTTCATTGCGGCGAATGTACACCACAAACAAACAACTTTGCGTGAAAACACAACCACGTCTCGCGCGTCCACTCGCACATAACGCAGCTTCCGTTCTTTCCCACTAACCCGAACCAAACTTTACAATCTTCTCCGGCTAGGCCCTCTCATTAGGCCCCGCCCACATACCCCTCAATGCCGCGGTTTTCAATCTACTGCTGAGTGTCCCAGCACGAGGAGTCTCAGTCCGGTTACCTTGCGCTCGCGCAGAAAGCAGTACATAGCCTGAGTGACGTCGGCGGCGTGGATGGAGTTGTGATAAGGGTTCGTGTTGTGGTAACCCTCTTCAATTAAAGCTGCGAACAAACGAGTGTGTGTCATTGCACCCCAGGCAGCTATGTCGTTGTTCTCTTAAATGTTACGATCGATCGGCGTTCAGAAACATCAGGTTAGCGAAGGTATGACAGGGAGCCTCAAGGTACACCGTATTCAAGTGTACCTTGTCCACATCACGCACGGGCATCAGTCTGGACCGATAAGCTACCAAGTGCAAAGGAAAAACAGTCGGAAGGCCTCGGTTCTTTCGGCACAGATTCTGCTGGGAATCAAGTAATTTGTAAAGTTAGTTTATTACGTTAATAATTAGTATAAACGACATCGTTACATACTGTGCCGTTGCATTTTTAAAATGTGATTTAAGAGTAGCCGATTTCAGCAGATAATAACCAGCCGATTTATTATTTATCAGGCATATCACTTTCATAACGGGCATGACGCTTTCATACTTACAAAAGCACTTCCACACTTTCACGACGTCCAAATTGAAAGCACTATTGAGGCCGAACTCTTTGAAGAGATGAACGCATAGAACTGGCACGGAACGACCTGAAACCACCAACGGTCGTCAACGTTAGCCAGCATATGTCACGAAAGTCCATCACTGCCTTGTCAACGCCGGGCTCCATCACACATGCGCACCGCGATCCAGCAGACAAACAACCGTGCCCAAAAGTCGGTTGGTGCCTCGCGAGTTGTCTCAAGCATGGTCCATGTCGGCCGTGCCACGCGCGCACACGTCTACACACGTCTGCACGCGTATGCACGCTCCCACTGCGTCGCGCGCGTCCATGTCGTGCGTGCAACATACTACGCCGTTATTTGCATGACAGCGTGTCGTGTTTGCCGCCGTTCCTCGACGTTAAGCACACGGACGATGTCTCACCTCCAGTCACCGTGTCCAGGGTGAAGGCGTTAAAGTTCCACCGTTCTATCCGCTCCAGCACCAACTGCGGGAGACAGAAGCATCAGACTCCATGCCGACGCGAGCAGCCTCAAGGTCGTAGCTAGTCGCGTTCACAACTGTGCATCTGACTCAGAGGACAGCGGTGACACGACTGACACCGATTAGTCATTTCCCAGGCGTTGGACCAAACAACAGGTTCACGAAGATGGGCCTGTAGTTCAGTCCAACGCCTGTTATGACGCCTAGTATGACAGATCCGATTTATAAACTAATTGCAGCCACACAGCTCCGTGACTTTCATTGCGTTGGTTGTTTCAAGACCCCACTTTCTTTGATACATCTGTCACCGTACGGAGCCACGAATAAATGCGCGCCCCTTTCCTGCTGATAACTAGTGAAGCATCGTCTTCCCCAACGCCATCGCCGATCATGAGTCTGCCCTTCCGTGCCAACAACTTGAGTCGTCCTTCCGAGGTAACTAACGACACCATCAGACGTCCGCATACCCGCACAACTACCATGGCTCGACTACGCGAATCCAACTCAGCTCGCGCCTCCCGCACGTCTCGGTAAGCGCACGTGCAGCGCCGCACGTGCGGAGGCCACTCCAACTCGCTATACGGGCTCTCTCTCTCCGATTTTTCGCTGGCGGACAAGGGACATGTGAGCAGCTGGCGCCGGCGCGTCTCCCGGCGTGTTTGGCGCGCCCAGGGCCGGTCCGACGGCCCGTCACCCGACGTGGATCGCGCCTTACGCGAACCCCGTCGCCAGCTCCCACCACCCGGGGCTAATTATTTACGGGGGGGGGGGGGGGGGGGGAGCGGCCAGCTGGCTTCATGCATCACCGCAGATAAGCAGCTGGATCAATGAGGAAGGCGCAGCGGCCGCCGCGCAGTGTTCATCTGCCAAGGTTACACAGCATCACTCAGCGTGTTCAGGAAGGCGATTTGTAGGTCACGGCCTCGATTAGAAATGGGCGCGCCGCGCACCGACATGAGCCCACAGCCACAGCAGTCTGCACCGCAGCCTGCACGTGGCGTGATGGCACCAGCTCTCGAAGCACCTGTGTTCGGCGCCGCACGGCAATAGTGGCTGGCCCCGTAAACAATGCGACCGATCCCTCCCCCTCCTCCCGCGCGTCAGCGATGCCAGCCCCCCCCCCCCCCCCCCCGTGGTCCCCCGGCCGGCCGCCGCACGGTAAGCAATACACTCTGACAGGGCGCAGGGCTCGGACGCCACTGGACTCCGCTATAATCGGCGTGCGCTAAACAGCCGACCTCAAACAGCCGACGACACCTCTTACTAGCCGCGGATGCGGCGCCGTGCTGGACTGAGCTGGACGGTAGTGAATGGTCTGTGTGCCAGAGTTGCGTGGTGGTGGACACATGGCGTCTAACGTTGGGCGTGCACGCGGAGCGAAGGTTCTCCCCTCCCGTATCAGCGCGGATGATGTCACAGCTAGGGGTTCTTCTCCCCTGCCCCTCGTCAGCGCGGATGATGCCAGTCTGGGGTTCTTACCCCGTGTCAACGCGGATGATGCCAGTCAGGGGTTCTTCTCCCGTGTCAGCACGGATGATGTCACAACCAGGGATCCCCCGTGTCAGCGCGGATGACGTCACGGCCAGGGGTCCCTCCCTCCCATGTCAGGTGCCGGTGACGTCACAGTCAGGCGCGACGTTCGCCGGGTGTCGCACCGATGAGCGCGCCGTTAACCGCTGCGTGGCTGGCCCGAATAATACAGTACGCCGCTTCCGTGTCACGAGCCGTTAGGCCGGAGTACGCCGCTTCCGTGTCACGAGCCGTTAGGCCGGAGTACGCCGCTTCCGTGTCACGAGCCGTTAGGCCGGAGTACGCCGCTTCCGTGTCACGAACCGTTAGGCCGGAGTACGCCGCTTCCGTGTCACGAGCCGTTAGGCCGGAGTACGCCGCTTCCGTGTCACGAGCCGTTAGGCCGGAGTACGCCCGCTTCCGTGTCACGAGCCGTTAGGCCGGAGTACGCCGCTTCCGTGTCACGAGCCGTTAGGCCGGAGTACGCCGCTTCCGTGTCCCGAGCCGTTAGGCCGGAGTACGCCGCTTCCGTGTCACGAGCCGTTAGGCCGGAGTACGCCGCTTCCGTGTCACGAACCGTTAGGCCGGAGTACGCCGCTTCCGTGTCACGAGCCGTTAGGCCGGAGTACGCCGTTTCCGTGTCACGAGCCGTTAGGCCGGAGTACGCCGCTTCCGTGTCACGAGCCGTTAGGCCGGAGTACGCCGCTTCCGTGTCACGAGCCGTTAGGCCGGAGTACGCCGCTTCCGTGTCACGAGCCGTTAGGCCGGAGTACGCCGCTTCCGTGTCACGAGCCGTTAGGCCGGAGTAACGATGACATCATGACCACGTCCATCAGCCTCCGCGAACAAGACCGCAGGGATGGCAACGAACGTGAGAACGTGGGCCATGGTACCCGTGACGACCGCTTGTGCAGCTGGTGGCATCGCTCATCCCAGCTCAGTTGGCTGAGGCCAGGAACAAGGCCCAGCTCGGCCATTAGGTGTCAGACAGCCTGCGCCAGCGCGCCGAGACTGACAGGCTCGCTCCAAAGCCAAGTAATCACCGGTAGTTAACACGGGGAGACAGGACACACCAGGTTCGGAGGAGAAATGACACCATGATGCGATAGTGGTGCGACCAGGCTTGAACTGACTCCGTTCAATCTCAATGTCAACTCTTGCAAGTGACCAGATTTCAGTAGAGTCATCGGGAAACTAATTTCGCAGGAAGCTTGATCGGTCGCAGCCGTTGAGAAGACAGGTGCCCCCATTTGTAATTATCAATTAGTCTACCCATATACATGTACTTCGCGAATTTTCTATTCTTAGAAGTCTCAGTGTTGCTCGCTCTTCCAGACTATCTATTAACAGGCTCAACTCCGTTCGGGTGAAATTGAACAAGTCTGCATAAAACCTAGTGGACGCCACCCTCCGGGGGGGGGGGGGGGGGATCTTAACGGCGGACATAAGGCTACATTAGCTCTGTGCGAGAGCTCTCAGTTACGTGCGACAGGGCGACAATTCATCCGTGATGGATGCCCTCAGCCACCCTTTCGGTTTGAGAACTTTGATCAATGAGATGATGATGATGATCAATGAGAACACATCAGTGACTCTCCCCGTGTCAGAGCAAAGGTCTACGTGGTTCCGCACCTGTGGGAGTTCTGACAAATGTGTGGCTCGTAAACGCCTCCCCACGTGTAAGCGCTCAGAGGGCGCATGTCCCTCCCCCTGCGGGAGTACCTCTGCCCAAACACACCGCCCCTACCCCAAGGGGGCACCTCGAGCGCACCGTCCCCCTGCGGGAGCACCTAGGCCCAAGCACACCACCCCTCTCTTGCGGGAGCACCCCGAGCACGTCGTCCCCCTGCAGGAGCACCTCGGCCGGCGAGAGCACCTCGAGCACACCGGAGCCCCTGCGCCAGCCGGCCGCACACCCGTCAGCATCGACCCGGCCGAGTCGGGCTCGCAGTCTTCAGTTGCTGGGAGCGGCCAGACCCATCGCGCCTCAGGCGTGACGTCAGAGCGAGACGTGACGTCACGCCGGGTCTGAGCACCGGCGGCGGCGAGCGCTGCCGACGGCCGAGGTCGGTCGGCTCGCAGGCTCGGAAGTGGGGCGTCGTCGAGCCCGACGCGCGTTGCCATCGTCAGGGCTGGTTCCGTATGCGAACCGTACCGTCTTGGCGATGACGAGCGGCCGCCGCTGCGCGCAACGGATGGCCTGATTGGCACCGGGCGGAGGCAGCTCTATGCCACGGAGGGATTGAGTCCGCTCTCCAATTCGAGATGCTGGAATGTTGCTCTGTCACCCCCTCTAAATGTCATGCCTCCACGCTGTTGCGCACGCTTCTCGCCTATGCTCAACACGCTGACCGGGACTGTCGTGTGGTGAGCACCGCAGCGGGTTAGATCTGCACTGGTCTGCAGCAGCATGGCCGGTGGTAGGCTAACTATGAACTGACCCTGGTCCTGCCTCTCTGACTTGCTCGAGTGTGTGATAAGGCCGATCTGATGGTAACCTAGCTGTCCTAACGTATCCCTTTGATCGGCACCAGTCCGTGTTGAGGTATAACATATTCTTCCTCTCTAGCAAGTGTTCGTTCATAAAGGAATCTAGCCTAGCCCGTTCTTCCCTTGCACCCACATTCCTCCGTCAATAATCAGTGATCCGCTTTGTCACCAGATTCGTTTAATCCACCCCATCCCTGGCCTACCCGACGCTGCCCTTCACTGATTACAGCTAGTCTGCGCCACTGGTATTCGTCATCATAGATAAAACGATGGCATTCGTTCCTTCCGGCGCCTCACCCGCGCAGATCGCTACCTTCTCCGCGTGAGGCGCCACGAAAGCGTGCGGTCGCTGTCGCCGCCACACACGCGCTTACACCTACAGCCGGCTGTAAACCCGACACGCGCAGTCAAACCCGAGCTGGGCGCCGACAGCGGCTGCGGCAGCTCACCTGCGCCGGACCGTGATACACGTCGTCGAGCAGGGCACGGTCTCCGGTGAGCTGGCGGGTGCAGAGCCGCTTCCTGCGCCGCTTGTGCAGCGTCAGGAAGCGGCCGGTGTGCAGGGGCCGGGTGCGGCGCGTGTCCAGGGTCGACAGCAGCACTCGGTCGCCGTCAGAGACCGGAGGCGAGCCGGCGCCGGACGACGTGTCGCTGCCGCTGCTGGCCATGCCTGCGGCGGAGGTCTGGCGTCAGCGCGTGCTGGAGAACGTGGTCCTGGTGGTGCCCTCACGGCGGCAGACCCGAGGTCGGTGTAGTGGGTGGAAAGACGATCTTCTGATCATGGTGAAGCCAGCGTGGCCTGGATGACGCTCACAGCCACGGAGAGCCGGGGTTAAGGCGTGAGGAAGCGCGTAGTCAGAGTAATGCCGGTACTTTACGGGGGATCCGAAGACGGGGCGCAGTGTAGAGCCTGTTCAGAACGATATTCCACGAGTACTGCGAGCGGGGAGGAAGGACCACGTGGTCCCGGTAAGTCTGTATTGAACATCTACGACAGGGGATAAAGAGCACGGGTCTGAACAGCGCTTAACAGCACAATGTAGAACTTTATCTGGGCAATTCGGAGTCAGCATAGCGGTACAGTGGTGAAAGTAAGCAGAGCGAAGAGCAGTGCACAGGACCTGGGCAATACACAGAAGACGCGGTTCTCAGCTTTTCTTCTTATAACTCATTGAAACCTGCATGCTAATTTAATTATATTTCTGAGAATGACCATTAAACCACCAATTAAGCGTACAGCAAATACAAGAGCCGACTAACGAAAGGAAAACACGATTTTAATTCTATGGCGTATTTTGCGTTTCTGCTTCCGAAGCTTGGAAACACCGCGGCACTAGAAAGCGCAGCATGCTTTGGTGATGCAGTGTGACGCACGACGTGTCACACGATAGGCTGATCAAGTAGGCCACTTGGTCGAAACCATAGTCAGAAGCGCAACCCTTTCAACAGAAATGTTCCCAGATGTCCGTAGTGGCAGGAGAAAGCCCGCATATGCAAGTTTGCACACGCGTGTGCATTTTCCAACATCAAACAGTCAACTGGCCACTTGGCATCAACGAAACCCGGCTGCCTCCTTTCTCCACTCTCCGCGTCAACCCTTGCGTCAGGTCATGCTTTCACATCGTGACACAGCTGCTTCGCGTGGTGGTACGTAACGCAGTCTTCCCCACCTGACGCCCACTTACGGACACCTGTGCATGGCAGGTTATTTGCAGCACGTACACGGCAAAAACAAATGCAATTTATTTTCACGTGCTGTCGGGCACGTGCAATGGTTGGCGTCAGCCCCAAATGACCGGCGCACTTTTGGGCTTGCTCGAAAAGAACACGCACCACCCGGCCAGGGATGAGAGGTTAGGCATTTGCCCGGGGCGATGCCGGTCCGAAATATCCCCAGACACTCATTTCGCGCCCCGAACATAGCACTAGCGTCTGTGGAGCGGGCAATAGGACCGGTCGCGACGTCACGCGATTGCCGTCTGCTCAAACACTCCTCGGCGGCGACTGGGCCGCCAGCCCTTACTTCCAGCCACTGCACTCCAAGCCAAGCCAAGCCCACTCAGCGAGCGCAGCCCCGGGCTCACTCGCCGACCGTTGGCCGACGAGGGAGCGCGGGCGGCGGCGCGGTCGGCCAGCCGCGCGCACCGGCGCTGGGTGGGGCGCTGTACCAGCAGCCGAATACGGCACGGATCCAGCGCATACGATCGCCTCAGGCCCAGCTGGGAATTCCGGTAGAGTTCGGCGCCACCCTTGCTGGATGGCATACTTGTGGGCTTATACATGTGCTCATGCCAAAAGCTTTTAGGGAGGAGAATGCTGGGTGGATAGCAACGTGGTAGTGCTGAGCGCGCGAGCATCGCGCAATGGGTTGGGCTCCACGACAAATCGTTTGTATTCCGTTTTTACCCTAGCAAGTAGAACGCTTCAGCATATTATTGTGACACCTAAATTTTTGCCACATGTTTCCTCTGAGCTGTGATGTTCGTGCACGGTTTTGGGCTTCGCCAGGGCCCTTCTGGGAAGCGGGTACAGGCGACAGTCTCACATCATGGTAGCAGTCTGGTCCATAGCGTTACGGCCGAGAACAAAACGCAAAAATAGCAATACCCTGGTTCCTTGGGAATCGTTGTGAATGGAAAAATCGATTTTGAAGATCGACTTTGCTGCAAATTCTAGAAAGAATAGTTTAAGGTGCTTTCTGAAGACCCAATCCTTTAAAGAAGATCCAGATATCAGAGTGAGAAAGTGGTCTCCAGAATCAACCCCATGGGTTGCACCGGCACTTTGTGTGAGTCCTGAAAGGAACGCGACCGGCCGGTCGGAAGGTCTTGAGCCTGTTATCAAGCGAAACATTAGTGGGCTGGGCTCGGTATGTTGCCGGTCGTACACCGAACCCACAACCACGGTCAGCCGTAAACACAGTGTGTCCACTTTACTGGCGTCCACTGTACCGTGACCGAGGATACCCCGTTCAGTGACGGGGGTATGTTCCAAGGGTGTTTCCTACTCAGTTGGGGGTGGGGCTGCAGCCCACTGACTTTGAGAGAAAGGCTGGTCTATTTGAGAGAAAGTGTTTTGACGCATATTTTTGGGGTTGGTTGTTTGGTTTCGGGGTAGGTTTTGGGGTGGGTATTTTATCCTGTTCAGACCCCCCTCCCAACTTAGCTTACGAACCTACACGCCTGATGTGCCCCGCGTGATGACGAGGGTGCAGTCCACCCATGGTCCTACGGAGCGACATGCATCGAGAGGACACCAGAGGCTTGCTCCTTGATCAGTGATGGAGAGCCGGTCAGACAGCAGCGGCACGTCGCTCCGGCCGGGAGTCACCGCCGCGCCGGCCGTCCAGTGACGGACGGTAATGCTGATGGATGCCAGCCTCGGCCCAATGCATTGCGGACGGTCGTAACCGCCTACCCGCCGGACGCCGGGCACTGCACTACCTGCACCGGCAGCCTCGTATATGGCCGGCCAACGTCGTTAGAACGGCTCACTCCACCAACAGCTTAACAAAACGGCGCATAAATAAGGCGAGCGGACCAGGCGGCAACTCAAGACGGGGATTGATCACAGAGCTGGGGTGGATACAGCTCAGCTGTCTCCGTTCTTCGCGATAACACGCCAAGTTCTGTTAGCTGTCGAGGTCGTCACGGTGTCCCACAAAGAAGCCTCGCTCTGATAGAAGAACGGCTCTTGATAAGCTCAATAAAGCTCGTATCTGTCGGACGTGTCACTACAGCATTTATCAACCACAAATCCCGGCTGGTTCCGGATTTTTTGCTGGGCGATCCGTCACTGCCCACTTAAGTTCACCGGGCGCCGTATTTGGCGAAGGATCAGGGAAGACGCTGCACAATCACGGCAAGCCAATCTCGTGTTCCAACTGCAGCGCATCACAAGCCACGGTCGATGCTGCGGCGTGTAAGGTCGCGGCGCCTGCAGCAGTGTCGCAGGACACGACGATAAAGCAGCATCACGCCATCAACGCATCGTCGGTCCGATCCACCGAGACTGCCAGTACCCCGCGAGCCCCGGGTACGAACCCCGGGTACGAACACCGCGAAAGCGCCAGTTCAGGGGCGGCACCACCGACTTTCTCCAAAGGGGCGGATGGGGTGGGGGGGGGGGGGGGATGAGCGGGCGAACAGATCTAGGGGCCTCCCAAGTAGAGATCTGAGATTGCTTATCCCATCTCCGATTTCACGTTTTTCAAGCGTATTTTCTCGGATTTCGGTCACTTATTTTGACAGGAACTTCAAAGTACATTGATAAATAAAGGCAGCCTTCACCTGGTCTTCACGCAATTTTTCTTATCGAGCATGCACTTAACCAGGCGAGGTTTTTCTTCCGTCTTTTATGAAACATCCTTGGCACATGGTGGGCCCCTGTCGACCTAACGTGCATGCTGGTGATCATCTAGGGCCCCATATGGAGCAGACATAGTTTCCTGCGTGCATTCAGGGACCTCCATTTCCTTTGACGAAATGGTGTCTCGGTCGCCTGAGGCCCCTGTCGGAGACCTTTTGAAATTTCAGGGGGGCAAAAGGATTTGTTCCCCCTTTGTCTCGTTAAAGGGTGGTTGCTTATCCCCTTGCCCATTGGTGGCGTTGCCATGCACCGATTCCGATGAAGTGTAAAACGGATGTGTAGTAATGCTCTTCAACCTGGGATCCCTCAAAACCTGTCCCAGACCAGTGTGGGGGCAAAAAACACACGCTTTAAGTTATCTTTTACAAGCATCGTTCTTGGACATCGTGCCTCCCCCAGCCTCCGTTCCTACGTATACAATGCTAAACGGCGTTGTTCCGGCATGTAAGCGGGACGTGGTCGGCAGAGCGGGAGTCCTATAACAGTGCTGATTGTGGATCACCGATGAGTGCCGGTTCAGGTGGGGTCGGTCGGACCGAGCAGGAGGGGGTGGGCTCACCGCCGCTCTCGCAGAGTGCCGCACAAATCAGTCACACTTTAAAGGAAGTATTACGCATTTGTACGGAGGTTTGAACTGAAAAAGCCATCTCGAAGATCATTCGGTGCAGTTTACAACTCTGCCTTTCTTTCAGCTAAACCCCTAGTTTCTGAGCTATACGCCTGCGAATGTACGCGGACTTTTTCGGGGAAAATGTTTCAGGGTCACCCAGGCATCCATGTTGTTATAAAAACATCACTCATATCCTGCCGTTCCATTGGCCATGTGGCGACCCAGGCCCAAAAATTGTCGAGTAGTTCATGTCTGGCGTTCGTGAGCACGATTTCCAGATATAACGGCAATCAATGGTCTCTGAGTCAATGTTGTGCATGGCACAGTGACGTAATAAAACAATGACACATTGAGGGGCATGCTTACTAAACAGAGAGATTGTGCTATCTAGAGCAGTCTTTCCCACTTAAGTTCGGTTTTTCCCACTTAATTTTTTTTCCCACTTAAAATCACCACCCCTCCCCCCAAAAGTCATGAAGTTTTGGTCACCTCACTTTCCTGTCTGTATCGTTCTTCTTCCTCTGCGCATCAGGAAGGGCTGAAAAAAGTACGTCGGTACATGGAAGGCATTCATCCTTGACCACAAATTCATGGATTCTGCCATTCTGAGGCCAAGTATTGCAGAGAACATACCACAAAATGACTCAGGTTGGATATCATAGAAATCAAGCCCAAAGACACAACAACTTGGC